TCGATGAAGGCGGGGTCCAATCCTTGGGTCATTGGTAGCACTTCCGCCAACGATGTCCGCGCTTCTTGCAGTAGAAGCACACCTCCCCTTGACCCCCGCCGCTATCCTCCTTAGGGTAGTCCTTGTTCTTGCCTTCCACTTCTTCTTGAAGCCACTCTTTCCACCTCCAACTCCATAGCCAGCCCCCTCCTCCGAGCGCTCCACACTCCGCCGCCGCAAGCCCTCCCACCTTACACCACCCACTATCCGGCGACCGAACAATCATATCCGAAGGCTCCACAGCGCCTCCTCCCACTTCCTGCCCCCTGCTCCTCCTCCTCCTCCGATCCTCATCTGCTTCGGTGCGCCGATCCACCCAAAAATCAGGTTCGGAGCCCACACGGCGCATGCGCCTGCGATGTGTTTGCCGCGGCATGGGTGTTGGGCTGGGTAGTTGCCAATCATGTTGCTCTCCCTTGACTTCAGCCTTCAGTTCGAGCGCGGGCTTGTAATCCACCTGCTTCAGTTTCTCCTCCTGTCCACTGGATCCTTTAACGTCAGGTGAGCTATGCGAGTGCAAGTCACATTTGGAAGCCGTTGGTGAATGCAAGGGCAGGTCACACGCAGAAGCAGCTGGTGCGTACATTCTGCTCCCTCCTGTCACGGCCACTTTAGCTGCTGCTGCAATCTCTTGCACTGGCAAATGCTGTGTTGGCAGGCGCTGTGTCTGCAGATGCTGTGTCGGAGGCTGCTGTTTTTGCAAGTCCTGAGCTGGCAGATTCTGCAGAGGAAGTTTCTGCGCAGGCTCTGGTTGCGCTGGCATCTCCGTCATGAGCGCTTGGTGAGTTGATGCGGGCTGCAGCCGAGGGAGCGACATGGAGGCGCAGCGAAAGCTTTGCGGGTCATTGTCAAGGCCGCAGAATAACCTATGCTCCGTGGCAGGCAGAAAGAGAGGAGCACCCCCTTTGGCCCTGCCCAGACCTCCAACAGCCCCCGGCACAAGGGGAATGCACCCTTCCGAGAAACTCCCGCCGGAAGCACCCTCCCTCGTCCTGCGTCTCCCAGGGTCCTTAAGCGCCTCAGTCGAGTCATTGAACGCATCATGCAGTGTCGCTGACATGACCCAGGCCTCATGCGACGCTGCTCGCTCTCTCATGAACCCACCATGATGCGAAGCTACGGAGTAATCAAGCCGCGTCTCGCAAGTCTCTTCGGTTCGGCTGCGCCGCAGCAGCGGAGGCGCTCCAATGGACGGCTCGGGGACGCCGGGACTCGCCAGAACATGCATCGGAACGTGCATAGGAGCCAACGTTGTTGCCGGGATGTGATTGTGATTGAACGTCGTCGTCGCCGGGATGTGATTGAAGGATTTGTTGCGGCGGGTCGACACAGCTGGGTAGCGGGCAGCGGGGAGAATCGGTCCCGCCCAATGGCTCCAATCCGCGCTTGTCCACCGGTGGTGCCGTGGGGGCTTATTCGCTGTCGATCCTGCACCGTTGGATGCGTTGCATCCACCGTGAACACCGTTGGATCCCGCGTCGCTTGATGCTGTGCTGTTGGTACGGCTTGTCCATGGGCTTGTGTGGTGATCCCATGGGTTGGCGGCGTGAGTAGAAGTAGCCGTGGCGGGATGATCCCAAGGGTTGGCGGAGTGCCGTTTGTGGCGGAAGATGGGCGACACGGGAGCGTGCAACAAGTGCCAGAGGGATCCCACGCTCCATCCGCTCGTGCTGCTGCTGCTGCTGCTGCCGCTGCAGCCGCTGCTGGTAGTGGTGCTACTCCCACCGTGATGGAACGAAAACGAACCGCTGGTAACCGTTGCCGTTGCCGCTGCGTGAAGGCCGTGCGACCATGGGGAGCTAGCGCTGCGTTCCGCGACTCCCGGCGACTGCAGCGACCTCTCTGTCGAGTCGTTGGTACTATTGGCGCGCACAATCTGTCGTCCCCCGTCGAACCCGGCGGCGTGCGCGCCCGTGCTGTTCCGCCGGACATGATGGATTGCGGTGCTGCTGCTCCCCCGGCTCAGGCTCCGCAATCCACCCCCTCCGCTGCGCGGGCGTGCGTTGGCGGGCGCTGCGCAAACCTTGTTTCCCGCGCTTACTAGCGCCGCGCGGCCCATCGTATGCTCGACCGCGCGGAGGTTCCCGCCCACGAACGCGCCGAGAGCGCCGCCGCTGGTGTCGTCGCGCGGACGATGCGGGGACGGAGGGGGCCGCTCGCAGCGAGCGGGCGACGGCGAGGTGTTAGGATGATCTCTGTCAGTTGCCCTTTCAGAAGCGGGATTGCCGCGCCGTCCGCGCTGTCCGGCGGCCACGGCGCCGCTCACGCTACTGTTATCGCGGGGGGAAGCGGTCGAGATTCTTTTCGCCGCCGGCGCCGGTTCGCATGGACGGAACCCGCCGAAGTTGCATGCGACGCTGTCGCTGGAATCGCTCTTCGCAAACTCGCTCGTTTCGCCGCTTCTCCCGTCGCTCCCGTCGCTCTCGTCGCTGCACTCCGCGCTGACGAGCGGCGGCGCGACGGAATCATCATCGAGCTCTATCGAGTCGCTGCTTGCGACAATGTCGAGGGCCGGGGGGCGCCGGAAGGGCGGGCGGAGAGAAGGTAGTGACGAGGCCGCGGGCTGATGGACCTGGGGAGCGGAACTGGCCGATCGCCCTAAACTCCCAAACAGATTACCTCCTAGAACGGCGGCCATTTCCACGACACTCGAGCCTCGATGGTATCTCGGGAGCTACTTTTACTAACACTCGGGTTAAGTTCGCCGTTCGATAATGACCGCGGGAAATACTCTCTGCTTAGTCAGCTGCATCGAGAATCTCAGATTGAAGGTCGAAGAAATTGGGTGGCAAGTTTCCACTGTTACAAGCTAGAGATGAGGCTGAGTGCGGTAGTAATGATTGGACCGTTGGCCGTTTCCCGACCATCCTCTTTATGAAAACGGCTCCTAACATTGCGACCTTGGCGCGGAACTGAATAGTAACCAGCGCAGCTGCTCCTTTGACCGCGGCGTGCTGATGTGGCTCTTTTGAGAGACGGCACTCAGCTTGACTCCGCAAAATCGCAGATTCGGAGATAAGGAGCCCTTGCCCAGGCGTGCACTGCACTCCACCCACACCACAAGCTGCTTCTGCACCAAGGTCGACGGGCACTGTAGAGGAGTCAGGTCAGGTCAGTTCAGCTGGGTTCACAGAAATGGATCCCCGTTTAGCTCAACGAATTGGCGGTTGGCAGGGCAGGGCTCTGCGGCGAGCATGCTCCACCTCTGAGAATCCAGGAGAGCTTCTTTCTGCTCCAACGGCGGTTAGTGCCGTTGTGTACTACACCCTCTTTCTCGATAGACTGGCATATGTTATACTGACCGAGACGCTTAGTGTAGCCGTACCGGACCAAAGAAGGTCCTATCACATGCGTTACAGTGACAATTTGACCCAGGGCGTTTGGTCAAGGTTTTCTACGTTCTACAATGGTACTGTTGTTTTCAAAGCGGTCGGGACGGTTATTCAACGTTAATGGTTTTTTACGGCCCAAGGCGTGTTTCAAACCCTCGTGCGACTTTGCCCGCAACCGACTTATCTCACCAGCCCGCTACGTCCAAACACAGTAGCCAGTGCTTCCGCTGGTGAGAGAGGTGAGAAAGAGGGTGTACCGTCTCAAATAATCGCATTCCGACGTACTGAACCGCTCAGATGCTACCTCATCCCTCTGTGACCCTGTCACGGAAGTCTTTGCAGAGGACGGGGACAAGTGCGTGGGGGGCACAGTCAGTTAGCGGAATGGGGAAGGTGGGGGAACGAGGTGTTGTTCACATCGCACCACACCACACCACAAGCCAACTGAGGGGGGGAAGGCGGTGCTGCGCAGGATTGAGCGGAATGCATTCGCGCACGGTTTGTGGTTATTGATTCTTGATGCGAGATGTGGCGAGGATTGTCTTGTATGTGATCCACATCCTTATTCTGGGTTTGGTTGGGGGGAATGAGTGACAGACACGTGTGAAGTCGTCAGAATCATAGGATCACCATTATATGTGCAGAGACATTTCTCCTTCATTCCTGTGTTTGTACATTGTTTTTCGGGTGAAGTTTAGGTTTGGGAGAGCTCGAATGGGAAAATCGAAAGGAGGCCTGAAATAAGCAGGCATCCGAAAGGTTTCAACACAACACCCAGTGGACCCATAATGTCCGCGCCGAAAGTTTCACAGGCACGGTGCAGCTGGCCACAGTTTTGACCTAAAGGGGACCCTTTTCAGGACTCAGCAACTTACGTAAATTACCTGATTACAAAGTGCACATTCTCAGTCAATTTTTTCTCACCATGCATGGCTCCCTTGCCCCGCTGGAGGATAATGGGAGTTTCCTAACCGCCCATCCTTCGATCTTATAGCGTGGGCCCAAACGGGTTTGATCGCCTCGATCAGCCGCGATCAATACTTTCCAGGAAGCCTGGAGGCCAAATTCAGGCAATCAGGGGCAATCAGCTGATCGCGATCAGCTGATCGCCCCAACTCAATCAGACCCGATTTACCCCCCGATCATAGTCGATTCTCTTCGATCACCCACGAGCAATTGATCGTGGGTGATCGGGGACCACAACGATACTGACGACACGTTACACTATATTACAGGGATTCGTCAATCCCTCACGAAGATGTCCAGCCTGTACAGAACACCGTGGAATGGCACCCATTTCGCCATCCAATCATTCTCCTCGCTCCCAAGGAACATACAGCCTGTGTCGAACAATCTGATGGAATCCCACAACTTAGGCTCCAGACGGGAGTGGTTTTCACGATATTACTTGGATACAGAGAGTTTCGCCAGAAGCCGTCTGGTCGCCAGTCTCGCTAAGAATGCCACGAAAATACCAGGTAATTAAATATCGCTTGCTGAACAGCCGAGAAGAATCTTCTAAGAAAAAACATTAGGGATCGGGCGGCTCGGGCATTGCGATCACAAGCAACCCGATCAGATCCGCCCCGATCAGATCAGTCGCGATCAAACCCGTTTGGGCCCACGCCCTTACGCCGCTGGTGGAGATGTTGCGGGTGTTGGGCTTTGATGTGCTGTCAGCCTCAGCTCACCTGCCTCCTCGCCGCACATCACACACATGGACAGCACGAGTGGAATGATTATCATCATGTGTACAGCAGATGCTCAACATGCTAGGGCAGACTGGCTGACGGGATAAATATTATGCAAGGTGAAAGGCTGGTAGAATAGAAGTCCTGAATCATTGCTGTAACAAAATATGTAGTAGGACTATGAGTACGATATCATAACCCTATTTGAACAAAATTTTACAAAAATTGTAGTGCATTTCACAGCAGCTAGAGAAGTCACATTGAATCGATTAATCGGGCAGCAACCTAACAAACAACCACGACCAATTCCTTTTAATTCCACCATGAGAAGAAAAGTAACAGCACCGCCGTGCTTACTATATCAGGGAGAGAACAAATAATCTTCAGCACCAATTGCTCTACCACTAAAAAGTGGGTGATTAATCGCAGGGCGCCAGCTCTGGCACACACCACTTTCTAGAAAAAGTGAGGAGCTCGTAGGCTGTACAGATTGAACCTCCTCATCGTGACCACCGCGAATCTGCTCGCGTGTCGAAAATAGACTCATCATCGACTCTCCTTGCCGTCCTTCACCCCCGCTACTTTTGGGAAGCAAGCCGTCAGTAGATAAGCTCGAGATATCAATACATACGAGCGGATGATGCCTTGCTTCTCCACTCACTGCCTCCGTGGTTTGAAGCACTGGGCCTGATTGCATGCCCCTGCTGTTCACCTCCTCCACATGCCTCTGCCCTCCAGCAACAGGTGTTGCTGTAATCCCCACTGTCCTGCTCATCTCTCCTCTATGCCTGTGGGTGCTGTTTCCACCATTCTTGGAGGGCATCCAACTTCCACCGGTGTCCGCTTCCCTATGCTCCGGACTCCACGAATGCAGCCCACCCACCTTACACCACCCACTATCCGGCGACCGTACAATCATATCCAAAGCCTCCACACCACCTCCCACCATTTCCTGCTCTCTACTCCCCCTCCCCCGACCCTCGTCTGCTACGGCGCGACGATCCACCCAAAAGCCAGGCTCGGAACTCACACGGCGCATGCGCCTGCCACGTGTTTGCCGCGGCATGCGTGGGGGGCTGGGAGACTGCAAATATATCAGATCCTCTTGATGTTCGTCTCCACTCAGCTCCAGAGCTGGCTCATTTTTCACTACATTCTGTTTCGGTTCCTGTCTGCCAGTCCCCTGAACGCCAGGTGAGGCATGCGAGGCCAGGTCACATTCGGAAGCCGATGCTGCATGTGCCGTCCCCTTTCCTGCCCCGGCAATCTCAGCTGCTGCTGCCAGCTTCTGCACTGGCAGTTGCTGTGTTGGCAGTTGCTGCGTTGGCAGTTGCTGTGTTGGCAGTTGCTGCGTTGGCAGTTGCTGTGTTGGCAGTTGTCGTGTTGGCAGTTGCTGTGCTGGCAGTTGCAGTGCTGGCAGCTGCTGTGCTGGCAGCTGCTGTGTTGTCCGCTCCTGCGTTTGCAATTGCTGAGCTGGCAGCTTCTGCATTGGAAGCTTCTGCGCAGCTTCTGGCTGCGCCGACATTTCCGCCGACAGGTCCTGCAGTTGGGAGAAGGACATGGAGGAGCGGTGGAAGCGACGCGGGCCATTGTCGAGGCCGGAGAAGAGCCGATGCTCAGAGGCAGGCACAAAGTGGGGCGCACTCCCCTTGGGTCTAACAGTGACCAGACTTCCCACAGGGTCCGGGACAATGGGAATGCACCCTTCCGACAAGCTTCCGCAGGAATCGCCTCTCAGTGTCCTGCGTCTCCCAGGGTTCTTGAACGGCCCTTGCGATGCTGCTCTGCTTGCTCTCCCAGAGTCCTGCAGCGCCTCATTCGAGCCCTGGCGCGCTGGATGCGGCGGCGCTGCACCGTGTGTCATGGCCCCGTCAAGATGCAACGCTGCGAAATCATCATTAAGGGTGATGGAGTAATCGAGCGGCTCCGTCTCGTGCGTTCCTTCGGTCTGGCTGCGCCGCAGCAGCGGAGGCGCCGCGAGGGACGGCTCGGGGACGCTGGGACACGCCGGAACGCGCATTGGCGTCGATGCGCGGCCCGACACTTGATTCAACGTCCTCGACGACGGGAATGAGTTTAGGGATTTAATGCGGTGCGGCCGGGCAGCGGGGAGAATCGACCCCGGCCACAGGTGATGCTTCGGCGGCTTATTCGCCGTCGATCCTGCACCATTGGAACCGTCACGGTTCGATCCCGCGTCGCTTGGCGGCGTGCCGCTTGCAAATGGGCCAGTTCCCGGGCTCGCCGTGGGATGATCCCAAGGGTTGGCGGAGGGTCGTTTGGGGCGGAAGATAGGCGACACGGGAGCATGCAATGAGCGAAAAATGGACCCCACGCCCCATCCGCCCGCGCTGCTGCTGCTGCTGCTGTTTAGAGACCACAAGGGACTGCTGCCGCCGCATTTGCCGCTGCTACTGCTGCTGCCACCGTGATAGAATGAAAATGACCCGCCGGCCACCGTTGCCGCTTCAGCCGGGGAGCAAGGGCTGCGCTCCGCCTTTTCGAGCGCCTCAAACGGGGAGCTGGGGCTGCGCTCCGCGATTCCCGGCGACTGCAGAGATCTCAGGTTATCCGACGAGTTGCTGCTATTGGCGCGCAGCATCGGTCTTCCCCCTTGGAACCCGGCGGCGTGCGCGCCCGTGCTGTTCCGGCGGACATGATGGATTGCGCTGCTCAGGCTCCGCGCTCCACGTCCCCCGCTGCGCGGGCGTGTGTTGTCGCGCGCAGGACAATGCTTGTCTTCGCTCATCGATCGCTCGACCGCGCCGCGGAAGCTTCCGCCCACGAATGCGACGAATGCGCCGCCATTGATGCCTCCGTGCGGCCGGAGCGGGGACGGAGGCGGTCGATGCGGGGACGGAGGGGGGCGCTCGAGCGCGGGCGACGGCGTTGCATCCTCGGGGTTTTGATCTCTGTCGGTTGGCCTGTCCACGGCCCGGGAGACGTCGCGCCGCCCGCTCTGTCCGGCGCCAGCGCTCGCGCTGAAGCCGGGGGAAGCCGCGTAGGTCGTCATTTTTTTCATCGCTTGCGCTTCGCCCGCGCGGTCGGTCGCGTGCAGGCCGCCGCCTGCTTCTTCCGCCAGCCGCGTCGGTCGTACTACCGAACCCGCTTCCGCGGCGAAGTCGGCGCGGCGATGTGAGCTGCGCCGCGCGCCGGCTGACGAGTTCGGCCGCGTAGGAATCTCGCCAACGGCTGTTGCTAGTAGGGAAGGTGACCCGGCGGTATTGGCGCTTCCGCGCGCCCTTTCCGCAAGACTCCAATGATTCCCTGCCAGCGCCACGGTACTGTTCGGATTGGCATTGCCATTCCGCTGCCATTCGCGAGTGGAGAAAACGCTAGAGACGGGGCTGCGACCGCCGCTGTCGCATGCGACGCTGGTAACGCTCTTTGCGAAACTTTCGCTCGTGCCACCACTTCTCCCGTCGGTGCTCTCGTCGCTGCTCTCTGCACCGACGAGTGATGGGAATGAATCGAGCTCTATCGAGTCGCTGCTTGTGACAATGTCGAGGGGCGGGGGGCGTCTGAAGGGCGGGCGGAAGGACAATGTTAGCGACGCTGACGGGGAAGGGGGCCGGGGAACATCGGCGGAGCGCCTTCCGAAACTCCCCGGCAAACGGCCTCCAAGAACGACCATTTCGACGCTATTAGAGATATGAATTCGCGCAATATCGACTCAGTATGTGCGGGCTGAGGTAGCGACGAAAATGACTCGTCTCAAATAAGTTGTAGTAGATGAGTCATAAGGCGCTTCGTGGGAAAATATCGCTTCTTCAAGGGGTCTGGACAGGTGTCATGGACCTGGTAGGCATGAGAGCGAGGATGCCCCAAAATTTGCACGTCTGGGAGCGGTGTTGCTGAAAGACGGCAGCAGTATGTATTGATGCCGTAGGCATGGTCGTAGCTTCTAGAAGTTAAACGTGCTAATTTCGGGCTAGAGACAGGTTTGGTTGGGTGAGTTCAGAAATAAATTCGGAATTCTTATTTTCCTTCAAATGCCCTTCGACGTCACGCAAAAGGAATCACAGCTGGCAGACCGAATGCTGTTGACCGAATGCACAAGTTGATTTGCTGCTGGGAGCTCTGGAGTCTTTCCTCGTCTGCTCACGCGACCGTATATTAACGTATTCAACCGCATATCGCCCGACATCATCCAGTCTCACTGCTCTGGCGTCAGGGTCGCATGATGGCCATCTTCAGGATGTGGGTGGGCACTGGGCAGGAGGCAGATGTTCCACAACGGGCACAGCTGTTGTGGGGAGGAGGGCTGTTGTGTTGCGCAGAAACGAGCGGAGCGGATCCCCTCTTAAAGCCCGCGGCCCAAATTGCGGGCCGCGCGGGTCAAGCTTTTAAAACTTGACGAACTAGTGTTTGCAAGGTTTTAAAAAAAGCGCGCCTGCAATTTGGGACTTTCGGGGACTGAACCAACTCCCAGGGCGAAATAACCGAAATCGATAACGTTCGCCAAACCCCAGACCAGAAAAACCCCCTCGCGTCAAGCTTTTAAAAGTTGTGCAATTTGGGCTGCCGGCTTTAACGATCAACAAAGATCGATTAGAAGCGGCTGCGAACAGAAGGGGCTGCGAATTGAACAGATGGTGTATGCGTGTACGAGGATTGGTGAATCACGCTGAGGGAAACGGGGTTACGGGGAAAACGGGTTACGCGAATATCGTTCCGGGGGGAGCGACATTCGCACGTTGCGTCGCACAAAGAACAAGCCGCTTATCACGAAGGATATGTATTTTTAGATATAGGATCCCATCTTGTTGCGTCGTCGTCGTTGATCGCAAGACGAACAAGCAGCTTGTCACGTGTGGTAGTGACCGGCAAATCTGCGGTCACCTCGCTTCCGAGACTCTCGCTGATCCGTCGAACTCACGCAAGAAATCCCATTTGCCACTTGTGGTGGAGTAGTGGAGCACGACGGCGGCGCGACATGAAGCTGAATACTGCCAAGCTCACTTGACCTGAAAAGTCTACGCTGATTCGCCAAGTCTACGCTGTATCTCTTCTGTCAGTTTTCATTGTGCACCAATGCCTTTTCAGCGGAAACTCGTTCACATTCCTCCCCCCATGAAATCCGGCAGTCGTGGGTGGTGCCAATCGCCCCATGCCACTATTTGGCTTGTTGCGTCGTGTTCCGTAGTAGCTACTGTTCAACGCGTCAAACTGTTCGATCAGTGCTGCACGAAACTGCACCCACGTCCCTTCGCCTTGGACTATACTGTTGTTGATCCACTTTAGAGATGGGCCTTGTAACAGTGTTGCTGCGAGCCATATGCGCATTGCGTCCTTTGTCGGGGTCGTGCATCCAACGGCTTTGAATTAAATTTCGAGTTCAGCTACAAATCGACGAACGTCGCTCCTTTCAACTGTAGGTTTGAACGCCTCTGGTTGCCTCGGCTTCGCTGCTTCGAGGTAAACTGTAGCTGCTGCCGTTGTCGCAGATACAATTATCGGTGTCGCCGCCGCCGCTGCTGCTGCTGCTGCTGCTATCGCTGCTGCTGTGGCGGTTGCCGACTGGTTCGCAAGGAGTTTTTCAAGTCGTGGGAGCGCCGCACGTATCTGCTTATGCTCAGCACGTAACTCCGCGATTTTCCGTACGGAATTATCTCTATTTCCCTCCATTTGGCGATTTGCAGGAAGATGTGCGACGAAAATAAATGAATTATAGGTGTTGGTCGACTTACTGCGAGTCGATAAGCAAGTCAGGCCAAGTAGGCACAAGGCATAGAACAGTACAGAAACGCTGATTATAACAAGGCTGAAGTGCCTTGGTGAAGATATCAGCAGTGTTGGCCCGAGAGGCCACGTAAGCAAGACGAAGCCGACCACGCTGCTGCAACTCTCGAGCAAGGAAGTAGTGCAGAGTGATGTGCTTCGTTCTTGTCAGTAGAGCTACACTGTGAGATCCCCGATCGATCCTAAGGGGGGTTACAGGCGCGTTTGCCTGGGGGGTTATGGGCGCACTGACCCGCAACTGAAACAAGCCCTTTTATCCCAATGGTCTAGTGGCTGGGATTCTGACATGGTATCAGAGTGGTCTCGGGTTCGAATCCCGGTGTATGCACATGTAGGCCGTTGCCACTGTGCTCAGTCCTGGGCCTCCCAGTGTGGGGGGGTGTCAGTAGAGCTACACTGTGAGATCCCCGATCGATCCTAAGGGGGGTTACAGGCGCGTTTGCCTGGGGGGTTATGGGCGCACTGACCCGCAACTGAAACAAGCCCTTTTATCCCAATGGTCTAGTGGTTGGGATTCTGACAGTTCTGTGCTCCAGTCTGTGCTCCTGACACAAGGCAATCATGGCCTTGTTGTCGACGTACAGAACTGGAGGAGAACGAGGCGGCTCGCCCAAGTCGGCCAGCAGGTAGGTGAGCCAGCGTAACTCCTGTGCAGCCATGGCCCCGGCGTAGATCTCAGCCTCACAACTAGAACTGAGAACAGAAGACGAGCGGGTAGACCGCCAAGAAACAGAGCCGGAACCAAGGCTGAAGGAGTAACCCTGTGACGACCGCTGCGTAGCCAAGTCGTCAACCCAAGAAGCGTCTACGTGACCAGTGAGGACAACATGAGCCCGTCCTCCAAGCACGAGCCCCATGCCCGATGTACTGCACAAGTAGCGCATCACCCTCTTAGCGGCCTCCCAGTGCTCTGGTCGGTGTCTCCCGGGCGCAACGTAGCGAGCCAGGATGCTAAGAGGGTAAGCAAGGTGAGGTCGAGTGCAGGTCATCAGGTACATGAGGCAGCCCACAAGCTCTGGATACGGGCCACTCGGCTCTACGGATTCATCCGAAGGCAGAGCTGAGAGCGAGTGACCGGTAGGCAGAGGAGTGGACTGTGGCGAGGAGTACGTGAAGCGGAAGCGCTGAAGGACCTGCTGCACCATGTGTGACTGAGTCAAGGTAATGGTGCGCTGTGCTCTGTCCCGGGTGATCTGCAAGCCAAGATAGCTGCGCAGCTCACCCAAGTCTGTGCACGTGTGTCTCTTCTGCAGCTCCGACTTCACGTGGGCGAGTCCC